GGCGCCTTAGCTGCTTAAGCTATAGGTGCCAAGTCAGAACCTGGGACTCTTAATCTGCAACTGGATACTCTTTCCCCCATCTGCAAGTACTCTTGGCTCAGACAGTTGCCTCCTTCCCTTGACAAGGGGGCTGGGCTCTACCCTATCTTGTTTGGTGGACTGGTGCTGATCTGGATTTGAGCAAGTGTGGATCACAGCTTCCTTACCTAGAAATGGGGAATAGTAAAATGCCTGTCAGGGTTGCTTTGAGGAAAGATTGGGATTTGGGATAATCGAGGCCTCTGGATGGCCTCCCACCCCCCACCCCCAATGGTATCCTTTGACCTCTGTGTGGCCTCTCTCTGGGCAACTGCCCAGCCCTCCTTGGTGTCTCTGGTCTGCAGGCCTGGGCTGGTAGGGCTGGTGAGGGGCCTGCTGAGGAAACTCCTCCCCTGGGGCCAGCCTTGACTTAATGGTTCCTTTTGACATGGGACTGGCAAGGATGTGGTCCCCTAGTTTGGGGTTAGGCACTCCCTCTATGTCTCTTTTCCTGTTGGGATGGGTATGTCAACGACCTGGGCTGGACATGTCCAGTTAGTCCTAAGCAGAGCTGACTGAGGCCTGGCATCCAGATGTTGATTTGGCCTTCTGCCTACCTTCAGAGGATTTGTTTTGTAGAGCCAGAGTCTCACTTTATCGCCCTTGGTAGAGTGCTGTGGCATCACACAGCTGATAGCAACCTCCAACTCCTGGGCTTAGGTGATTCTTTTGCCTCAGCCTCCCAAGTAGCTGGGACTACAGGTGCCTACCACACGCCCGGCTATTTTTTTGTTGTTGTTGCAGTTTGGCCAGGGCCGAGTTTGAACCCACCATGCTCGGTATATGGGGCCGGCACCCTACCTACTGAGCCACAGGCGCCGCCCAGGGTTTTTTTTTTTTTTTGAGATAGAGTTTCACTATGTCACCCTCAGTAGAGTCCTGTGGTGTCACAGCTCACAGCAACCTCTAACTCTTGGGCTTAAGCAATTCTCTTGCCTCAGACTCCCAAGTAGCTGAGATTACAGGCATCCGCCAAACGTCCAGCTATTTTTTGTTGCATTGCTGTTTAGCTGGCCTGGGCCAGGTTCGGACCCACCAGCCTTGATGTATGTGGCTGGTGCCGTAACCACGGGCTCCCAGCCACCTTCTGAGGGTTAATGCCATTGTGTTTACTGATGTGAGATGGCACCATCCTTCCCCCTGTGGGTGGCTTCTGTGTCTCCTCCATTCTCTCTGGGACCCGCCCTTGGGGATAAAGGACGGATGAGGAAGCCAGGCAGGATTTTCCTGAATCTGCCTTCCCCAAGTCCCCATTTCCTGCCTGTGGCCATCTCCTTTTGCTGTGGGGGAGGGCATGTGGAAAGGGGGTGGGGGCCCCTCTTGAAATAGCCACACTAGCCAACGCCTGGGAAACAGCTGCGTGCATCTGGCAGCACAGACCCTGCTGCCTGGTACTCAGGGCCTGCTCCTGTTTATCAGCCCGAAACTCTGAGTCACTAAGGATGGCAGGAGGAGAAGGAGGCAGCTGGGAGCGGGTCTGGCCCCTGCCTCTGCCTGTTCTAGGTGTGCTCACGGTATACCCTGCGTCTCCATAAAAGGCAGCAAGACTTGAAGGGTCATTCGTCATCCTCCTTGAGGGCAGCAGTGGGGCTGTCACAGGGAGAACACATCCCTGGTGCTCTCTGTTCCTGGAGTGGGGCCAAGTTGCACTAGCCACCCCACCCTTGCTCTTACCCAGCTCCCCATCACAGTGGGACAACCAGTTTGAGGTGCTGAGTGTTGCCCGGCTTCATGGGTGGACCAGACTGGTGTCTGCTTGCTCTCCAAACCCAAACTGGCTGTGTGGTGGCCACATTGTTCACTGTATCTGGTCCTGGCTCTACAATTTCTTTCTGTTTTGAGATAGAGTCTCACTTTGTCACCCTTGGTAGAGTGCCATGGCATCATAGCTCACAGCAACCTCTAACTCTTGGGCTCAAGCAATTCTCTTCCCTGAGCCTCTCAAGTAGCCAGGACTACAGGTGCCCAGCACAATGCCCGGCTATTTTTTTAGAGGCAAGGTCTTGCTCTGGCTCAGGCTGGTCTTGAACCTGTGAGCTCAAGCAATCCACCTGCCTCAGCCTCCAAGAGTGCGAGGATTACAGGTGTGAGCCACTGCGCCTGGCCTGGCTCTACAATTTCTAGCCTCAGTATTCTTATCTGTAAATGGCAGACCAGAGCTTATGCTTTGGAACTTGCCTGTGAACATGATGGCATTTGTGCAGGGCTCAATCTCAGTGCCTCTCACCTCTTCTCCCAGCTGCTGAACTCAGGAAGTCAGTTCCCAAGACAATGGAGCCACATGCAGACCAAGTGGGAAGGTCACCTCCATGGTACAAAGTAGAGCCCAGCCATTCTTTAACTTTCAAATGCCCTTAAGTCTGCAGAGAGAAAGAGAGGGGCCCCCGAGAGGCAGTCCCACCACCCAGATCCCAAGCCTGGGTTTGGGCAGGCCAGGAGTTGAGAGCATGCTTCTGAGGAGAAACAACCATGGCCCCCCAAACTGAGCACTTACCAAGTGCCAGGCTTTGTGCTGGGCCCTTTGGAATGTGGTTCTCACTAGTACCTGTGAGGGAGACAGATGGGGACACTGAGGTGTCCCTGAGAGCACCAGGGATGTGTCCTCCCTGTGACAGCCCCACTGCTGCCCTCAAGGAGGATGACGAATGACCCTTCAAGTCTTGCTGCCTTTTATGGAGACTCAGGGTATACCGTGAGCACACCTAGAGCAGTGAGCACAGCTAGACCATTTGACAGATGGGGACACTGAGGCTTGTCAGAGAGGGGCCCAGCTGTGTAGTAAGTAGCTGAGATTTGAATTGGTCTGTGGGACTTGGAATGCTGGGAAAGGGTTCTGGAGCCTTTGGAGAGAAGGGCCTTAGGGCCTGGGCATCTGGGGCCACTTGTGATCCTGTCCAACCTACAGGAAAGGGAGACTGGAGTCTCTGAGAGAGCCTGGGGTGCTCTGGAGAAACCTGTCTGACTGCTTCCCAGCCCCACCCTGTCTTGTCCAGTGGCTGGGTGCTGCCTCACCACTGCAGCCTTTCCCAGGGAGCCCCAGTGGGGCGAGGGTGGGTCCACGGACTCCAGAGGCTGTTTTCTTCTGCCCCTGGGATTGTTGAGTTGGGACAGTGTGTGAGCCTAGGGCTGCTGGGGTATCTGGCCCTTTATTGCCCTGGCCCCCAGGGATCTTTCCTGCCTCCCCCCAAGCCAGATGTGGAACCCCAGGACTCACACAGCTGGCACCCCTGAGGCTGCCCTGCTCCCAGAGCATATCATCACATTGTGGGCAGCTCCTCCTGTAGCCCACTGGGGCCCTTGGGGCCATGGTGGGGTGAAGGGAGGCCACCAGCAGGGCCTGGGGAAGGGCTGGAGCTGGGGGACTTTCTGCTTCCTGACTTCCTTATTCCCCCAGCAGCCACGATGGAGGTGATGAACCTGATTGAGCAGCCCATCAAGGTGACTGAGTGGCAGCAGACGTACACCTACGACTCAGGCATCCACTCGGGCGCCAACACCTGTGTGCCCTCAGTCAGCAGCAAGGGCATCATGGACGAGGAAGACAGTGGTGGACGCCAGTACACGATCAAGAAGACCACCACCTACACTCAGGGGGTGCCCCCAAGCCAAGGTCAGAGGAGAAGGAGGCAGATCGTAGGGACCTCTGTTCTGAGAGGCCCAGTTCTCATTCTTAGGGAGCAGTGTCTAAGGCAGGGGGTATAGCTGTGCTGGCAGGGGCCCACCTGGCCTGAGGGAGGAGGCACAGCAGGTTCAGGGAACCCCACATGGGAGGGACCAGACTTCTCTTCCATGAGCTCATAGTATGGAGAGGTGTAGGCCCTGCCCTCAGGTAGCCCCAGGTGTCCCCTGTAGACCAGGTGCAGTTCTCAAGCAGGAGGGCTCCTTGTTGGGGTAGAGGAGAGGGGCCCATGTTGTGCTGACATGCAGAGAGGCTGGGACCAGGGGGTGGAGTGGCTGGCAGCTTTGGGGCTTAGTCAGGGGGTTCCCAGCCAGCCCCTCTGAGGACTACATGGGCCCTAGGAGCATTGTCCGCAGCTGCCTCCAGGGCCTGTTCTGTTCCAGCAGGGTGAGCTGTGGCCGCTGGGATGAGGTGCAGGTGAACTGAGGCTGGCAGGAAGCAGGGGCCTCTCAGCTAAGCAGGGCAAGGTAGCTAAAAGTACAGCACCCAGGTGGGAAAGCCACGTAGGTGTCTTTTCCTTCCCAACTAATTAGCAGGTAGAACCTCTGTTAGGTCCCCTCCCTCTCCCTGGCACGTCCCATTCGAATGGTTGCCAGGGTGGGGTTACCTAGGCACCTATTTGTGGGACTCCCAGGTGCACCCCCCACCGGGATTGGAAGCTGGAGGGGAACCTATAGTCTCAGCTGAGGACCCAGTTCCTGGTCTCTGAAACCCAGTCCCGACTTTGCCTCTGGTCTGCTGTATGATACCAGGTGGCTTTCTGGGCCTCTGTTGGCCTACCTGTATAGAGGGAGAGTGCTCCCTTTGGGATGACGAGAATATAGGTAGAATTCTGACATTTTAGGGTTGAAAAGAGGCCTAGATTGTGTAATACATGCCCTATCTGATGGTTGAGGGAGAATAGAGTAGGGGTGTGGGTCCCTAAGTCAGGCTGCTTTAGAATTTCATTGTGCCCAGTTCTTTCATCTGTAAGGTGGAGGTAATAATTGTATTTACCTTGTAGTGTTGTTATCCGATTACATTAGGAAACATAAGAAAAGCAGTTGGCTGTACACAGTAGCTAATGCCTGTAATCCTAGCACTCTTGGAGGCTGAGGTGGGAGGAGCCTGTGAAGTCAGGAGTTCAAGACCAGCCTGAAGACGCCATCTCTTCCAAAAATAGAAAAATTAGCTAGGTGTGGTAGCAGTCACCTGAAGACCCAGCTACTGGGGAGGGTAAGGCAGGAGGAGTGCCTAAACCTAGGAATTTGAGGTTGAAGGGAGCTATGATGACACCACTGCACTCTAGCTTGGGCAGCAGAATGAGAATCTATCTCAAAAAAACAACAACAAAAAAGGGCGGTGTCTGTACCTCAGCGCGTAGGGCGCTACCACATACACCGAGGTTGGCCTGGGCTAGCTAAAATCAACAATGACAACTGCAACAAAAAAATAGCTAGGCATTGTGGCAATGCCTGTAGTCCCAGCTACATGGGGGCTGAGGCAAGAGAATCACTTAAGCTTGAGAGTTTGAGGTTATTATGAGCTGTGAAGCCATGGTACTCTACCAAGGGTGACATAGTGAGACTCTGCCTCAAAAAAAAGAAAAGAGAAGAGAAGAATTTCATTCATTTCCGGGCATTGTATAAGTCCTTGAATAATGTTACTATTCTTACTAAAAATAATCATGGCTAGGCTGGACGTGGTGGCTCACACCTGTAATCCTAGCACTCTGGGAGGCTGAGGTGGGTGGATTGCTTGAGCTCAGGAGTTCAAGACCATCCTCAGCTAGAGTGAGACCCTGTCTGTACTAAAAATAGAAAAAGTAGGCATTGTGATGGGCGCCTATAGTCCCAGCTACTTGGGAAGCTGAGACATGAGGCTTGCCTGAGCCCAGGAGTTTGGGGTTGTTATGAGTTACGGCAGCACAACATTCTACCCAGGGTGACAGAGTAAGACTTGTCTCAAAGTAAAAAAAAATCATGGATAATATTTTGATGGTAATAGCTGCCAGGCACATGAATCCTTTGTATTCAGAGCAATTTATGACTTTATCTCATTTAATTGTCATAAGAATTCCCTGTGACAAAGCCATTTTACATATGAGGTGACTCAGGTGTTAGTGACCTCCCCAAGGTCCCTGCTTAGAGGCAGAACTGTGAGTGGCGTACTGGGGCCTGGATCAGCATGGGAGCATCCCAGAGAGTCCAGGTGGGGCTGTCCATGTGTCCTGCCATCCTCCCCAGGCCTTCCCCATTGCCTGCCACCCCCACTCAGTCCCTGCCCTATCGGCCCCCAGGTGACCTGGAGTACCAGATGTCTACAACAGCCAGAGCCAAGCGGGTGCGGGAGGCCATGTGTCCCGGCGTGTCGGGGGAGGATAGCTCTCTGCTGCTGGCCACACAGGTGGAGGGGCAGACCACCAACCTGCAACGACTGGCTGAGCCGTCCCAGCTGCTGAAGTCGGCCATTGTACATCTCATCAATTACCAGGATGATGCTGAGCTGGCCACCCGGGCCCTGCCCGAGCTCACCAAACTGCTCAACGATGAGGACCCGGTTTGTGAGAGGGCTGGCTGGTGTGGACTGGGCAGGGAGGGGAGAGGTCAGGTGTCCACAGGGGAGGGACATTGTAGAAGGAGGGAGATCATGACCCAGACACCCCAGGCATATGAGGAGTCTGACTTGGGTCTACCTGAGTTTTGTAGAAGGGTCTCCTGGCGCCTCCTGACTGCTCACAACCCCCTCCAGGTGGTAGTGACCAAGGCGGCCATGATTGTGAACCAGCTGTCAAAGAAGGAGGCGTCTCGGAGGGCACTGATGGGCTCGCCCCAGCTGGTGGCAGCTGTTGTGCGCACCATGCAGAACACCAGCGACCTGGACACGGCCCGCTGCACCACCAGCATCCTGCACAACCTGTCCCACCACCGTGAGGGGCTGCTCGCCATCTTCAAGTCGGGCGGCATCCCTGCTCTGGTCCGCATGCTCAGGTACCTGCCCCCGCTCACCACCGGAGCCCAGGGCCCCAGGACACCCCCCTCTTGGGCTTCCTCCTTCCCTCCCCTGGGCTTCTGTAAGCATCTTTTGTACCTACTAAGTGCCAGATGCAGAACCTTGCCCCATCCTGGCACTCAGTGGCTCACAGCCTAGTGGGAGAGACAGGCATGTAAGCAGCAGGGTCACTACACATATTAGGGACCATATAGGCTATGGTGGAAGAGTGTTGAAATGGCTCAGAGGTAGAATTGCTCTTATGGTCAAGAGAAGGGGGTTGATAGGTGAGTGGAGTTTGGCTGATGGAGAAGGGAAGGGGGAACACCATGTGCAAAAACCTCTCGCAAACTGTCTTTCCTGGCCAGTGGTATTTGGCCTCATTCCTTACACCTATATCAGGCTGGGTGCTCTGCAAGGGTGGAAATAGTGATTTCACTCCCCTCTGAATGCCTGGCAGGGCCTCTCTAGCACATGGCCTTCCACATGATCACTCTCCAACACTCTAGTGTTGAGGGAACCTGCTGTGTGCTCAGTACTGGGGGCCTAGAAGCAGGAGGGGTTGTGGTCCCAATGGGGAGAGGAGAGTGCTGTATGTTCTGTGCATGAGAGAACGTGTTGGGCTCAAGGGATGGTGAGATTTTAGTAAAGGGAGATTTCCATGGAGTGTTGGTGTTGGGGAGGCTTCCTGGGGGAGGTGTACATCCGTGCCACACCTACATTCATACCAGACCCCTGGACCTGAATGGTGCTAACCCCTGCCCACCCCTACCAGCTCTCCCGTGGAGTCTGTCCTGTTCTACGCCATCACCACTCTGCACAACCTGCTGCTCTACCAAGAGGGTGCCAAGATGGCGGTGCGCCTGGCAGATGGGCTACAGAAGATGGTGCCCTTGCTCAACAAGAACAACCCCAAGTTCCTGGCCATCACCACTGACTGTTTGCAGCTCCTGGCCTATGGCAACCAGGAGAGCAAGGTGCGCCCTCCCTGGCCTCCCAAGGCCCAGCCTTGAGCCTCTGCCCCCTCACTCCTTTTACTTATTTATTTAGAGACATGGTCCCATTTTGTCACCTAGGCTGGAGTGCAGTGGTATCATCATAGTTCACTGAAACTTTGAACTCCTGATCCTCCCACCTCAGCCTCCCAAGTAGCTGGGACTACAGGTGTGCACCACCATGCCCAGCTAACTTTTTAAATATTTGTAGAGACAGGTCTTGCCCAACTGGTCTCAAACTCCTGGGCTCAAGTAGTCCTCCCACCTTGGCCCCCCAGAGTGTTGGGATTACAGGTGTGAGCCACCTTGCCCAGCCCCCTTACTCCTTTCAGATGGGATGTTTGTATATGTGCAGATACATATGCTTTATTACATTTCTGAGTTACTCTAAATTTATTATTTTAAGGATATGGAAAAGAAAAAAAATACTCATTATTCTCATACAGACACTGTTGTCATTTCGATGTGCTTCCTTCAGAGTTGTTCTTGAGGGGGGCATAGTTAGAAATATGTACACATGTCTGCAACTTTGCATCTATTTTCTACATGATGTTTCTCAAACCTTATTTTTTTTATATTGTCCTCAAAATCAGCCTGTATAATAGCAGATAGCATTTCATTAAGTAGAAAGCCCAGACTTTATTCTGAGGTCATTTAGATCGCTCCCAATTTTCTACCTTTATAACAATGTTGTAATGAACATTCTTGGGCACATAGCTTTCCCAAATAGTGGAAGAAACTTTTATATGTGGGATTAAAGATTTTTCTTTTGAGACAGAGTCTCACTCTATTGCCCTGGGTAGAGTGCTGTGGTGTGGTCGCTTGCAACAACTTCAAACTTCTGGGTCAAGTGACCCTCTTGCCTTAGTCTCCCAAGTAGCTGGAACTTCAGGTGCCCACCACAATGCCCAGCTAGTTTTTCTATTTTTAGTAGAGACTGGGTCTCACTCTTGCTTAGTCTGATCTCAAACTCCTGATTTCAAGCAAGCCACCTTCCCTGGCCTCCCAGAATGCTAGGATTACAAGCTTGAGCCATTGCACCTGGCCAGGTTAAAGATTTTTTTTTTTTTTTAGAGACAGAGTCTTATTTTGTTGCCCTTGGTAGAATGCCATGGTGTCACAGCTCACAGCAACCTCCAGCTCTTGGGCTTAGGTGATTCTTTTGCCTCAGCCTCCCGAGTAGCTGGGAATACAGATGCCCACCACAACATCTGGCTCTTTTTGTTGTTGTTGTTGCAGTTTAGCCAGGGCCGGGTTTGAACCCTCCACCCTCATTATATGGGACTGCACCCCTACTCACTGAGACACAGGTGCCGCCAGGTTGAAGATTTTTAATACTTCTAGGCTTTTTTTTGGCCAGGGCTGGGTTTGAACCCACCACCTCTGATATATGGGGCCGGCGCCCTATTCACTGAGCCACAGGTGCTGCCAGGTTGGATTTTTAACACTTCTAGGCTTTTACACAGATGGCCAGACTGCTTTCCAAAAAGACTGGACTGGTTTCCAGTGCCATTGGTGGTAATGGGAATGAGTATAGTTTCACCACATCCTTGCCAGCGTGGGATATTATCTTTTTTCAGACTTTGGATTTATATGACAGCCACAAACACATTTGGCTTTTAGCTGAAACTCAGCAATGACAGTTCTGTGACCTTTCCCCACCCCTTGCTTATTTCTCATCATGTTCCCTATCTGGCTCACCCCCCATAGCTGATCATCTTGGCCAATGGAGGACCCCAGGCACTCGTGCAGATCATGCGTAACTACAGTTACGAGAAGCTGCTCTGGACCACCAGCCGAGTGCTCAAGGTGCTATCTGTGTGTCCCAGCAATAAGCCTGCCATTGTGGAGGCTGGTGAGTATCATGCCCTTGAGGGTGGCTGGGAGGGGCTCTGCCCAGTGTCAGGTGTGTTAGCCATGATCCCCTGAGGCTGATGAGAACCCTGTCCCCAACCCCAGGTGGGATGCAGGCCCTGGGCAAGCACCTGACAAGCAACAGCCCCCGCCTCGTGCAGAACTGCCTGTGGACCCTGCGCAACCTCTCAGATGTGGCCACCAAGCAGGTGAGACAGGGGTCTGGGCCTGGGGTAGAGCTCTCCAGCTGCCTTCTCCAGCCTCCTGGCTAGGCCTCAGACCCTGGGTGCTAGGGAGGATTTGGCCTCTACGTCCCCCTCTCTGGGGCTGAAGACTCTCATCCTATTAGATGAAGGCTCTAATCCCTATTGAAGATTCAGGAAGGGAGGGGGGGAGGGGGGAACCGATGTTTTAAGCTGGGGTTCAGGTAGTAGCAAAGGAACAATTTTGACCTGGACTCTGGGATGGTGAAAAATAGAGCGCCAAGAGACAGCTTTGATGCCTGGGTGGCTAAAAAGACAATTAAATAAAAAGGGCATCTCCAGGAACCCAGCACTAGTCCCTCCCTGCAAGGAGCCTGCCATTCCTCAGAGGCTCCCCTATTAGGGAGTTCTGGCTCCGTTTGGCAGTGTGTGGATAGCATTCATTTAACCCTTTCAGCATCCCCTGCAAGTGGGGTGTGCGACCCTGTTAGATGAAGAAACTGAGGCTCAGGGAGTTAAGCAGGGGCCCATGGTCAGAGCTAGTAAATGGCAGAACTGCATTCGAGCCCAGGACTGTCTATGTCCCCTACAACAAGAGGATTTGACTTAGGTCTCCCATGGGGGCAGCAAGGAAGGTTCAAGAAGGTGAGAAATGTGTAAAAGTGGCTTAGCTGGGCCACCACAGCATGCGACCCCACAACAATTGCCTCCCGGCCCAGAGGTCTCCCTTGGCCTGAGTAGGGCTCTACTTGTCAGGGGGGAGGCAGATGGGGTATAGGGAAGAGCACAGCCTTAAATATTGGCCTGGGATCCTGCCACTAGCTGTGTGTCTGTGGGTAAGTGCCCAGCCTCTCTGAACCTCATTTGCCTCACTTGCTGCAAGGGTTAGTAACACGTTTTCACAGACATCAACATGTTGTGGTGGTTGAAAGCTCCCAGGCACACACAGGGAAGGCTGAGCCCTTTAGCCCATGCCATTCCCCTCAGACAAATTTGGGAAGCCTTCCCAGAGCTGGCTTCTCCCTCATGCCCCACTCCTTTCCTCACACCCCAGGAGGGCCTGGAAAGTGTGCTGAAAATTCTGGTGAATCAGCTGAGTGTGGATGACGTCAACGTCCTTACCTGCGCTACGGGCACCCTCTCCAACCTGACGTGCAACAACAGCAAGAACAAGACGCTAGTGACTCAGAACAGTGGCGTGGAGGCCCTCATCCACGCCATCCAGCGTGCTGGTGACAAGGACGACATCACAGAGCCTGCTGTCTGTGCCCTGCGCCACCTCACCAGCCGCCATCCTGAGGCTGAGATGGCTCAGAACTCTGTGCGTCTCAACTATGGCATCCCGGCCATTGTGAAGCTGCTCAACCAGCCCAACCAGTGGCCGCTGGTCAAGGTACTGGGAGTTAGGCCAGGAGGAGCTCTCTGCTGCGGGGTCAGGCACCGTATCAGTATAGACAAAGCTGCTGCAACAAAGAGGCCTTAAATGCAGTGGCTCAAATAAGATAGCATTTCCTTTCTCTCCCATGGAGCAGTTTACGGAGCAGTTTACACCTTGATAGTGGCTCTGCTCCAGCAGCCTAGATTCTTATAACTCTACCATCCCCTGGAGCAGAACTTCTCAAAGTTCAGTGTGCATGAGCACCCTGAGCAGTTTCACTACACTGCAGGTCCTGATTTAGTAGACCCACGGTGGGAGGGGAGGGGTGTCTTAGAGTATTTATTTTTGACAAGCTCCCAGGTGATGCTGCTGGCCCATGGAGCACGCTTCTTATGCCAATAGGCCTAGGTGAGAATGTTTTCGCACGCTTCTTATGTCAGTGGGCCTAGGTGAGAGTGTGCTCCTTGCACAAATTGTTGGATGCACACATTCCCTAGATGTGTTCCAGTGCTAGAGAAGTGGGGAGGGGTAGCAGCCACCAGGAGGGACACATACTGTTGGCTTACACCCTAGAACTTCATCATTTGGCCACATTGAGATACAAAAAGATTAGGAAATGTAATCCCCAGACAAAAGGCCCTGTGTCTTGCTAAAATTCAGGAGGGCTACGAAAAAGTTACAGAGTAGAGAGGATTCTAGGGGCACTTAGTTTCTGCCATGAGAGTCAGGAGTGCGAAGGAGAGGCTTTATCCTTGGGAGGCTGCTTGGTGGGGGAGAGGTGTGTATCTTTGTCAGGCAGGGGGAGTGAGGGTAGGCCAGGTGGTGGGCAGGTGGGAGAGACAGAGTTGTGGGGGAGGCTCTGTGTGTGTATCTCCGTGCAGAAATAAGGAAAAGAGCCAAAGGCAAGATGACATCTGCTACCAGAGAGTAGGAATCTGCCACAAACCAGGGTTTTATCAACGGGCATAGGAGCCAGCTGGCAGGGGCTTCTATTAGCTAAATTTTAGACAATTTAAGAGGTAAGAATGACTCTAAGTGGTTGTATACATTTTTTAAAAATCCATAGTATGAAAAAAGATAGGCTCCTTTCTTGGTGCTTGATTTTGGCTGCGAGCCCCAGGTGCAGGAAGCATGTATACCCTGAGCCAGCAGCTAACTGACAAGTGACGAGTAACCTTGGCAAGTCTTCCAGCCTGTGCTCATGTCCTCATTTCACATGATTTTCATCCCTGCCCTCCTGGTCTTGCTCCATCCCCCAGGCTGGGGTCGAATGATCCTCCTGCCTTGGCCTCTCAGAATACTGGGATTATAGATGTGGGCCACCACTGCGGCCCTGGCTTTTTTTTTTTTTTTTGAGACAGAGCCTCAAGCTGTCCTCCTGGGTAGAGTGCTGTGGCATTACAGCTCACAGCAACCTCCAAATCCTGGGCTCAAGCGAGTCTCCTGCCTCCACCTCCCAAGTAGCTGGGACCACAGGCGCCTGCCACAACTCCGGGCTATTTTTTGGTTGCAGCCGTCATTGTTGTTTAGCGGGTCCGGGCTGGGGATTCGAACCCACCACCTTAGGTGTACGTGGCTGGCGCCTTAGCCGGTTGAGCTATAGGCGCCGAGCCGGCCCTGGCTTCTTATTTGAGGATCAAATGAGATAATAAATTGCTTTGCAAGACCCCGAGGGACTCTGGGAGGCTGGAGTGGCTCCTGTGAGTTGAGGACTGACTCCAGGAAGGAGACTTCTTCCTGGACCTTCCCTGCTAGGGAGTGATTATAATATGAGCATCACCCAAGCAGGAAGCTTTGGAGTCATGGTAGGAAAGACTTTCTGAAAACCAGGGTTTGGGAGCTATCAGAAAAGCAAGCAGGGCTGTGGTGTCTGTGGGCGGTTTAAGAGAGAAGGGTTGAGGTGAGGGTCAGAAAATGGGTCCTGAAATGGGGTGTCATTTTAGCAGGGCCTATTAGGAGTAGCCATGAAGACCCAGAGATCCTATGGAATAAGGGACACAGGCTGGGAGTGTTCCCATTCTCTGTAGACCTCCAGTGTGTCCATATCTGGCCCAGAGTATAGAAGCAATGCCTGAAGCTGGAGAACTGAGATCCTCCAGCTGCCTGAGAAATGCTCCTGATCACTGTCCCTTTTCTTGCCAGGCAACCATTGGCCTCATCAGGAATCTGGCCTTGTGCCCAGCCAACCATGCCCCACTGCAGGAGGCGGCGGTTATTCCCCGCCTTGTTCAGCTATTAGTCAAGGCCCACCAGGATGCTCAGCGCCACGTGGCCGCAGGCACACAGCAGCCCTACACGGTGAGTGAGCCAGTGGTGCCTGTGACAGCTCTCCCTTGGGGCCAGGTTGTCCTCGGTGCAGGCAGGTGAGCGTGCACACAGGTGTGTGTGTTTAAATAGGGAGGTGAGTTGCAATTGATGACAACTCCAAGGGCCACTGATTTTGTCAGCATATCATGGTGGGGGAAGGGGCCCTGACTGAGGGCCACCTGTCCCCATCTCCCCGCCTCTTTTGTGCAGGACGGAGTGAGGATGGAAGAGATTGTGGAGGGCTGCACCGGAGCCCTGCACATCCTTGCCCGGGACCCCATGAACCGCATGGAAATCTTCAGGCTCAACACCATCCCCCTGTTTGTGCAGGTGAGTCTAGGGCAAGTGGGCAGGCGAGGCTCCACACCCCCCTCACTGCTTAAGGAGTAAGGTTGGGAGTGACAAGTTTAGGAGGCCTGGGTCAGGCATCAAGAGGTCTTTGGAGGAAAGTAGCCATACCAGGAGTGATTCCTCAGCAGACCCCTAGATGGGAATGGCTTTCCAAGCTCAAAAGCAAGAAGGGAAGAGATCACAAATAGGAAGAAAATCTTGAAATTTAACCACATAAACATTTAAACCATCTGTATGTCAGAAACAACCTAAAAAAAGCATTAAAAAAGTGATCAGCAGCCTGGGAAAATATGTGCAGACTCCATAACAGATAAGAGTTTAATATCCTTGATAGAAAAGAGCTCATTGGCTTGGCACCTGTAGCTCAAGCGGCTAAAGCTCCAGCCACATACACCAGAGCTAACAGGTTCGAATCCAGCTTGGGCCTGCCAAACAATGACAACCACAACCAAAAAATAGCCGGGCATTGTGGCAGATGCTTATAGTCCCAGCTACTTGGGAGGCTGAGGCAAGAGAATCGCTTAAGCCCAAGAGTAGGAGGTTGCTGTGAGCTGTGACACCACAGCACTCTACCTAGGGCAATAGCTTGAGGCTCTGTCTCAAAAAAAAAGAGCTCATTAATATACTAGATCCCAGTAGTCAGATATGGGCAGAAGTGACAAGTCATTCTCAGGTGGGTCGTGAACAAGCAACACTCAGCCCTAGGAGTTTAAATACATGGTACCCCTGATGGGAGCCTTTTTTCTGCCATTAAATTGGCAAAAGGTAGAAGTGGGCAGGGCTGTGGGGTACACTGCCCAGCCTGCCTCAGCACCACCTCTTGTGCCCTCTCCCCAGCTCTTGTACTCATCAGTGGAGAATATCCAGCGTGTGGCTGCTGGGGTGCTATGCGAGCTGGCCCAGGACAAGGAGGCAGCTGACGCCATTGATGCCGAGGGGGCCTCAGCACCTCTCATGGAGCTGTTGCACTCCCGCAATGAGGGCACTGGTGAGGGGGTGTGCAGTGGGCGGGGGGGAGAGGATGGTGGAGGTGGGTGTCTGACTTAGGCTTTCCTTTCCTCTCTGCCCAGCCACATATGCTGCTGCTGTCCTGTTCCGCATCTCTGAGGACAAGAACCCAGATTACCGGAAGCGTGTGTCTGTGGAGCTCACCAACTCCCTCTTCAAGCACGACCCAGCCGCCTGGGAGGCTGTAAGTGTCCTAGGTTGAACTGCAATGTATGCTTGTGCAAGTTGTACACTGCACAAGGGCAACATGCTGTTGACTTTCTGATTTTTGTTTTTTGAGACAGAGTCTCACTCTACTGCCTAGGCTAGAGTGCCATGGCCTCAGCCTAGTTCACAGCAACCTCGAATTCCTGAGCTCAAGCCATCCTCTTGCCTCAGCCTCTTAAGTAGCTGGAACTATAAGTGCTCACTACAACACCCTGCTAATTTTCTCTATTTTAGTAGAGATAGGGTCTTGCTCTTGCTGAGTCTTGTGTCAAACTCCTGAGCTCAAGTGATCTTCCTGCCTTGGCCTCCTTACTAGGATTACAGGTGCGAGCCACCACGCTTGGCTGACTTCATAGATTTTTATTTTATGATTGGATCACTGACAACTCCTAGCAGATGGAAGTAGTAGGCTGAACCATATGTTTGTTTTGACCTACAAAAATGACGATTTTATTTTGTCCAAATGAATATGAAGTGTTTATGGAAGGGATGCCCTTTCCTATTTTGCAAGAAGGTGCTGTGTAGGCTAGCAGTAGCTTGATCCTGGTGGGGCCTTGTACCCATCACCCATTCCTTTTTTTTTTGAAGACCGAGTCTGTCTCACTTTGTCGCTCTGGGTAGAATGCCATGGCGTCATAGCTCACAGCACCCACAAAATCTTGGGCTCAAGAGATCCTCTTGCCTCAGCCTCCTGAGTGATTAGTACTATAGGTACTCACCATGGTGCCTGGCTAGGTTTTCTGTTTTTAGTAGAGACAGAGTCTCACTCATACTCAGGCTGGTCTCAAACTCCTGAGCTCAAGCAGTCCACCCACCTCGGCCTCCCAGAGTGCTAGGATTACAGGTGTGAGCCACTGTGCCTGGCAGCCTGCATCCATTCCTGAGTCCTCCCTCCCCTCCCCAGAGCTGCTGTGGTTCTGTGGGAACCCCAGTGTAATTGGCAAGACCCTCCACCCTTGCGAGGTACTAGGACAGGAGTTCATCAGGGCACTGGGTAACCCCATTTCATCAGCCTTTCTTCCTCCAGGGGATCTTTACTTTCCCCTGGTTTCCTTTTCTAGAAGCATCTCTCCCTGTCCCCAGCTAAGATCTAGCTTAGAGGCTGCATTTTCAGAAACAATCCCCATGTTTCTCTCTCCTTCCACAGGCCCAGAGCATGATCCCCATCAATGAGCCCTATGCAGATGGTGAGTGTGCAGGGCGCTTCAGGCCCCTGGAGTGCCTGGGGGGCTGTGTGGGTGTGTGTGAAGCCAGACATTGTGTCTCCAGGGCTGGAGGACCCATGGCAACCACTTTGTGGAATCACTACCTTGTCTAGATCCCCTGATGTGGGAGTTTGCGGAGGAGGCCTGCTGGGGGTGGGCTGAGGGCTGCCCAGAGCCCCCTGGAGGGTAGCCTGCAGACCCCTAAACCCAGCCACCTTCTTGTCCCCAGACATGGATGCCACCTACCGCCCCATGTACTCGAACGACATGCCCCTCGACCCCCTGGAGATGCACATGGACATGGACGGGGACTACCCCATTGACGCCTACAGCGACGCCCTCAGGCCCCCCTACCCCACTGCTGACCACATGCTCGCCTAGGCACCTTGACCCCTGGTATAGCACCCTTGCTGTGGGCTGCTGGGCCCTCCCCTTTCTCCATTGAAACCATGGCTGGGGGTGGGGAGGGTTTACTGCTGAGCTTCCCCATGCAAGGTGTGCCCAATCCTGCCTTATTCCTGTGTCTTTGCTTGGACCAGGAGGACTCCTGCCAGCCCCTTCCTTCCAGGGGTGGTAGGGAGGTGACATGGGAGTGGCATGAGCTTCTGGGGATGCAAGTCTGCTGAGCCCTCTGACCCCTCTGTGTCTCTGCTCACCTCTACCAGGTGCAGTTCCTCATCTCAGAGGCTCTCCGTGCAGGCCATGGGGCAAGACAGAAAAGTGCCTGAGCTGGGGGGGCCGGGGCTGCATCCTGCTGAACCCTGTACCCCCAGAGGTCCTCCATGGGGTCTTTCTTGGGATGGTGTTCTGCTCCTGCTTTTCTGCCCTGGGTGTGGATCCAGGCCTGACACCCCCTCCCCACCCCAGTGGCCATGACCACTAAAGCTTCAGACACAAGCTGCCCACACTGTTTCCCCCCAGGAATCCCCACCCCCAGCCTGCCTGTCTCCAGCTGCCTGGGCCCCACAGGGCTTTGGTTCCTTCTTTGGGTCTGGTATTCTCATTGAACTCTACTGAACAACTACCCCAAGTTCCTAGGTCTCTCTAGGACCCAGATTTGAAGCCTGAACCCTCCCAAACCCAAAGCTTCTCTTGAAACGTTCAGGGACTATCCAGGGGAGATGGGGCAGAGGTGTGGAGAGTGGGTCCCCCTGATCCAGGAGACAGCCCACTTCTCTCTCCTGGATGCTAAACTGGTTTTGCTCAGCCACAGGGAGCTCTGGGGACAGCTCCGGCACACCCTGTCCCACCTGCACCACTGCCCTGCCTGACCCCCAAGAAGTGCTCTTGGCTGACCCCTCTGGTGTGCGGTGAGGGGCTTTCTTTTCCCCTTCCTGTTTCAGACTTCCCCCCACCACCTCCTGCACACAGGTGTAGGGGGCTGGGGGAGGTCCCAGTGGAGAGTTTATTGTTTTTGCTTTATGTTTTGGTTATTGGTTTTTTTGTATAGACCAAAGCAAAGAAAATAAAAGTAACACAGAGATCCAATGGAGGCTGTTGCGGGGTGAGGGGTAGGAGAGAGGAGGGGGCTCCCTTAGCATTCTCCTGGGCTGGATCCTGTGTCCAGAAAGCCACCTATGGGGAGGAGAGACTAGAGGAGAACTGGGGAGGAGAAAGCTTTGAGGAGCTGGAGTCAATTTAATCCCTTACTCACCTGTAGGGGTGCAGAGATTACTCAGGTGAGTCCCCTCTTCAGGGACACTGGGCCTTATTCTTCCCGCAGACAGGCAACCTCTTTGCTGACCGTCAACTGCCAGCCCTCTGCTCCTGACCAGCCCTAATGTACACTTGGCAGTGCTTAACTGCCATGGTTTATGGAGTCCAGGCCCCTTGTTGGTCTGTCCCCTCCCTGCCCGCTCTGTCCTCAGCAATGCCAGTGACAGCCAGCATCCTCCATGCTGCACCTGCCTCCTGGTCTTTGTTCATGCTGCCCCCCTCACTCCTGCCTGGAATGCCTTTAACTCTTCATCCAGTGGGATCTGTCATTTCATCCATGATGTTGGACTGTCCTTTAGCTTATGTGAGTTTCCCACCTACTACTCCAAGTTCTTTCCAGGGTGAGCTGGTTACAACACCTCTGGCAAACCTGTCCTTGTGGGGCACCTGCGCACCTGCTCTCAGAGTCCCATGCCTGCTTCCCATGCCCACCTGGAGCTCAGGGCAGTGGGGGAGGCTGTGGCCTAAATTTGTGGATGATCAGTGGGACCTGGGGCTGGGGACAGGAAGCCAAGTTAGGGGGTGGCTGTAAGGCCCAAGCAAGAGGTGAGGCTATGGTGATCTGAGCTCTGCCTACCTGAGCTCAGGGAGGGCTTTTCACCATGCACTTTATCTGCATTCAGTGTTCAGGGCCCTGGCAGGAAACACTCAAGTTGGGTAATTGAGGAGAATTTCATAAGGGGACAATTTACCAAGGTATGGGCCTATAAAAGAGATAGGAAGGGAGAGGTCAGTGCTCCGGGCTAATTATGGTGACCTCACCTCCTCTAATCTGAGGCAGAAAGGGAGGGGGTAGTTGAGGGGAGTGGTGACAAGGGGAGGCAGGACCTCACTCCCTCCTGCCCATGCTTCCTATTGGCCAAACCCAAGCCCAGAAAGCCCATTTATGGAGGAGGATCTGGAGAAGTCAATGGAGATAAGCTGTGTACTAGCCCTCTCCCTGTCTTTCCAAAGGGGACCTGAGGTGGCTTTCAAGGATTCATGCCAGGCAAAGTGGCTCACACCTGTAATTCTGCCACTCTTGGGAGGCCAAGGCGAGTGGATCACCTGAGCTCAGCTCATGGGTTCGAGACCAGCCTGAGGAAGAGCAAGACCTCCTCTCTAAAAATAGCCAGGTGTTGTGGTGGGCACCTGTAGCCCCAGCTATTTGGGAGACAGGCAAGAAAATCGCTTGAACCCAAGAGTTTGAAGTTGCTGTGAGCTATGATGCCAGGCCACTCTACTGAGGTCAACCAAATAAGATTCTGTTTCCAAAAGAAACAAGTCACTCTCTTAAGCTTTACATTTAGGACAAGGGAAAGGAGGAGGTAGCAAAGGACCCACACACCAGGATCAAGCTTTATATGAGCTTCTGAGCTCCTTGGCAGCCTGGCCAAAAACAGAAATTTAAGGCCAGCCAATTTCAATGCGGGTATCTGGTCACTTCTCAGTTTTCCTGGAGGAGCTCCCTGAGCCTTGTAGCCTTGAGAAAGTCAGTTCACTTCTCTGATCCTTGATGTCCTCATCTGTAAAGTGGGGATAATGCCTTCTCTGCCTACCAAATGTGAGGATGGAATGAGGAAATACAGAGATTCCAGGCAGGAAGAGGAAAAGGGCAAAAAGCTATTTCCCCAAAACTCCCTTTGTAAAAAAAAAAAAAAGTATGTCCAGAAGGCACATTCACCTGCAGAATTATCTGGACATTGGCAGGAACTATGTCCTGTAGCCACCCTTTGCTGCATAGGGAGCTGGGAATTGAGAATGTTTTAGCTGCACACAGTGGTTCTAACAGTTATAAAGCAAGGGGGGAAAAAAGCAACAGTTTTGGGTTGTGCCTATGGCTCAAGGAGTAGGGCGCTGGCCCCATATACCAGAGGTGGTGGGTTCAAATCCGACCCCAGCCCAAAAAAGTGGGGGAAAAAAAAAAAAGGAAGGGCGACACCTGTGGCTCAAAGGAGTAGGGCACCAGCCCCATATACCAGAGGTGGTGAGTTCAAACCCAGCCCCAACCAAAAACTGCAAAAAAAAAAAGCAAGGGACAGAAGACATTGAGTAGATCACTGCTGGGGGCTGCTGCAACTAGGATTGAGTCTCCCCAGACTAACTTTTCTTTTTGGTAGGTTTGGTCAGGGAAGTAGCCAGGGTTTCAGCAAGACCATAGGGGGAGATGCAGGACTAGGACTAGGTGATAATGAGCAGACTTGATGGAGCAGCCATCCCCAGGGAGCAGGAAATTTGGCCCTGTCAGTAGAGGTTTCTGCCACCTGTTGCAGTCAACATGAATACAGTGGGTTCAACAATACCAATGGAGCCACTGGAGGTGTAATTCTAGCACTCTGGGAGGCCGAGACAGGTGGATTGCTTGAGGAGTTTGAGACCAGTCTAAGAGCAAGACCCTGTCTCTACTAAAAATAGAAAAGTTAGCCTGGCATTGTGGCGGGTGCCTGTAGTCCCAGCTACTTGGGAGGCTGAAGCAGAAGAATCACTTGAGCCCAAGAGTTGGAGATTGCTGTGAGCTGTGATGCCATGAGACTCTACTGAGGGTGACAGAGAGTCTGCTTCCCCTCCAAAAAAACCCCAATACCAATGAAGACAGAGGGACCTATCAAAATGGCAGGTATCATGCCTAATAACTAAAACTTCTCTTAAAAATAAAGTGTCACACAACCGGCTAAGGCGCCAGCCATGTACACCTAAGGTGGCGGGTTCGAATCCCCACCCCGGACCCACCAAACAATGACGGC